TTTTTTTAAAAAAAATAGGTGCTCAAAATATGTGTTTTTCTCTGTCTGGCTTTAATTCAGTCTTTAATATGTATAATTTATCTTTCAATTAAAGCATGTTTATTTGACACTGTATTAATTTTTATCTTGAATTATTTTAGAAGTATGTTGTTAAAATTTTAAAATTTATGAAGATTTTTCTAGTTATTTTACCATTCAATTTAAGCACAATTCTGTGTAGATATTCAGATTATGTGGTCTGAAACTGCAGTCTTTTAATATTTGTTATAATATATTTTATGGGCTAAATCATTGTAAACTTATTGAGATATTTCTTCTGCATTTGAGAAGTATGAATATATACTGTATTTGTGGGGGGCATTGAATTCTATTTTTAAATGTTTTATGCCCTTCATGATTTTTTATCTGCTTTTTTTAGACAGTTACTAAGACAGGTATTTTAAGACCCTTCTCCGTGATGGTGAATTTATTTCTTCTTTGTATTTTCCAATTCAATCATGTACATTCTGAAGGCATATTATTGGTTTCACAAATTTCTATGATCATTAAATCTAGCTATTGAAATGAGTTTTTTATTTATTTATGTATTTGGTATAGGGTCTCACTATGCAGCTCAGACTTGTAGTGATCCTCCTATTTTCAGCCTCCCCAGTGCTGGGATTACAGGTGTCAGCCTTCACATCTGGACATGGTCAAATAGCTCAGTGCATCCCAGGGGCAGGCCAGCATGGCATGTGGGACCTGGGATCGAACCCTGGCCCCTTCACTTGCCAAAGCAGACACTTACTCCACTGAGCTATGAAATGATCATTCAAATTATGAAATATCTATTTCTAATAATAGTTTTTAACCCTATTTTCTTTAACAGTAGTACTGCTAACCTGGCTTTATTTGGTTAATATTTATATTGAGTTGGATTTTTAAAAATTTTTGTTTCATCTGACAGCCTTTGTTTTTAATTAGAATGCTTACTACTTTATAGTGTTTACTGATTTATTGGGTTTAAGTTTTTCTGATGTTCAATGATGAGTTTTTGTCATGAAAAATGTTGTTAATTAGTCACAGAACCTGATACCCACAGAGCCCAGACAGAGCCTAAGAATTTTCTCTACACTCCATTCTAAAAACATTTTACCAATTATTCGGAATCAGGAAGCAAAACAAAACTCATTTTCCATCTGTGGTCTAGGAAAGCACACAGTGAGCCAGTATAGTGCTTCTTAAATTTATCTCCTTGTAAGAATAACCTGGACTATTCAAAAGTACAGATTCTTATATTCCACATCAAACCTAACAAATCAGTGTCTTCAGAGGAGATCACTGAGAATTTGTGGTTTCACACAACAATCTCATGGGCAAAGAGGCTTATCATTGTAAGGAACAATTGCGAAAAACAGGAACATTAGAGCCCAAAGGGAGTTGTTGAATGATTTAAGCCTCCTGCTGGTTGTTGTGACATGAGTTGTTTAAACTCTGTACTATTTATGTGCTGAAATACCATCACAGTGTAATGTTTCCTGGGTAGCACAAGCACTCTTAAGCTGTGCCAGTGTGTAGGTTCTTTGGATGGATTGAAGAAATGGTTAGCACCAAAAAGGAGGTAAGGAAGGAGAAAATAGCCAAAGGTCCAATTTTAAAAGATGATGGACAACCATAAGGATATTCATACATACTAGTTTGTTTCCCTTTGGGCATACTGGGACAGAATGTTCTAAAGTGTATCAATGAGTTATAGGCCAGCTAGGCAGCTGGATATATTTATCATTTTAAGATTATGTGCAGGAAGTATTTTGGGATGTGCTGTCAGGACTCAGTGAGCTCACACATATAAATGCCTCAGTGTAAACAGTATCCAACAGCAAACATTCA